AAATATCTTTTTGTTTTTTTTTTTATATATAATAGATTAAAAATAATAATATTTTATTAATAAGTGAAATGTATAAGATGATATTGATATTTTTGTCCTTGTAAATACAAAATAAAATAATTATTTTGTAAAAAATAAGAGTTATTTTGATAAGTATATATGAATTATTTTTATTATAATAGAAAATGAATATTTTTTTTGGTAGAATAAATGAAAATGGTAAAAATTGAGATGAAGGTAGTATGTTTCTTCAATTACTAAACAATCCACACCAAGAAATCTCTTTAGTATTTGATCTATTTTAAAAACTATCAGATTGTGATCAAAACAGCAAATTGAAATTAAAAACCCCCAAATTAAAAAATAAAAAATAAATCGAAAAATCTAAATCCTAAATCAACAAAAGGTTACCAAAATTAAAAATTGCCCAAATTAACAATGCTAAATCGAAATTTGCAATGCCCAAACCTACACGAAGATATTCTAAGCGGGTTGTATTAAAATAAAAATAAAAAATAAATAAAAAATAAAAAATAAAAACCATGATAGTATACCTGGATTTGGACGAAAACTGGCCGGCAACGATGTCTAGGATGAGGTGGATTCCGGCAATGACGAGATGGCGGGAAAATAGATTCTAGCCCTAAGTATACCGTGGGCACAAAGTCTGGAAGCCTCAAAAGTGTTAGCCGGAAACGACGACTGACAGGGCGAGGATGACCGTTTAGGGTTTAGGGTTTAAAGTGTATTCTAAAATTTTCATTTTCACAAGCATACTCATCAATATAATATTATTTCTGTCCGACTCTAAGAGTCTCATTTATTTTTTACGTGTTGATATTTGAATATTAATTATTATATCACAATATAGTATAGATTAAGAAAAAATTACAAAAATACTTCAATTAGTGCCTTATAATGCTAGTAGAGTAACATTTGTACAAAAAAAAATATTATACAAATATAAGGATATTTTTAATATGACGCAAAATATAAATGTGACCCTTAAAGACGGACGGAGGGAGTATTATTTTTTAAATCGATTACAACTTTCTTTTGATACAATACAATGAGAAATGTAATAGAAAAAATTGTAAAGTGAACAAACCATATTGTTGTTAGTAATTAGAACTATGATCATTCATTTCTCTCCATCGACCATTCTCACCATTGTGACCTCGTCGTTAGAGGAAGATAAGTTTTTCACGAAGAAGACATGAGCTCGACTATCCCATTGCCTTGTTGCTTTCTAGCAAGAAAGTGACTGAAACGGATACTCAATTTAAAGTTAATAAACAAATTTTATTCTCGATCTCATAGATATATATAGAATTCCATGAAAAGCCTAATTCAATAAAAGACGTATGTAATTTTTATTTAATTTTTTAATGTAAAAATTATATATACATTTTTTAATAATATAATTATGTTAATTTGCTCCCGAATCCCTAAATTCAAGGCTGGTTCCGCCACTTGTTACGGCAGCTAAGCTACTAAAGAAAAAGAAAAGAATAAAAAAAAAGAAGAGGAATTTAAGTTTATTTATTTAGTATATTTTATTTTTATTTTTAAAAAATAGATCCATCAATTAAATCACTTCAATAACATTAATTAAAAATAGATGATCTCTGTAATTGGCATATGGTTCATTGCAATTGTTATTTATAGATGGAAAGTGTAATCTATATAAAATTCATGCTAACACAATGTAGTTTTATGTAATAAATAAATACATGGGATTTTTTTATTTTAAACAAATAATATTTTGATTTAATATTTTGAGAAATAAAATAATATATTTTATTAGAAAATATATGAATTGAATATTGTTGATTTATATTTCAAACACAAACTAAACATACCCATGGATTTATTTATTTATTTTACTTTAAGTTTCAAAAATTCTTAATAATTATTTTTCTACACATGTTTTAGTCAAATTAAATTATTCTCCTTCACAAAGCATCATATATAATGCTAGAGATTTTCATTAGTGATTGAATGTAATCATTTGGAAAGAAAGTAATGAAATTAAGATTGAATAAAATTATATGAAGTAAACATATAGGGGCTCTATTTATATTTATTATTTTTAAAATTTCTTTTATAATTTTCTTTGTAAAAATATACCAAATTTCATATAAATATTATGGTGTATTTATTTGGTATATTGAGTTTAATCTATTTTTTTATATTATCAAAAAATATAGTAATATAAAAAATAATATATTTTTCTTTATAAAAACGGACTGACTAAAAGATGATAATTTAAATTGAAAAATTAAACCAAACACATCCATAATATTTAAGTATATTTTTACATATATTAATTGCAACACATAATCCTATCATTGTAAATTGTGATTTAAAATTTATTTAAAATAAAATATTTGATATGAGTTTTTACTGAAATAATATTTTAATGTGATGTTTTTGTATAAAAACAATAATATATTTTTATTAAAAAATTATATAGAATGACTAATATTTAATTTTTATTTGAAATTTAAATTATATATATTTCTACTTTTACATTATTATTATTATTATATATTTTCTACAATATAAAAATTCATAGCCACTGTTTTCGAGTCCACATTAGGTAAATCTTGAAGTTGATACAATACTCCCTCCGTCCCATATAATATGGGTGTATTACTGTATACACGCGAATTTAGGTAAAGTATAATTAGTAAGTAATTAAAAAATGTATTAGTAAAAATAATTATTATTTAGTAAAAATAATTATAGATTAAGATTAATATAATAAAATAGTTTAATTAAGATTTAAAAAAATTTAAATTTTAAATTTTAAAATATGATTAAAATGTATAATTAATTTTCCGAAAAAGGAAAGGATAAATTATGTGTGACGGACGAAAATAGAAAATATGAACGAATAATGTGGGATGGAGGGAGTAGTTTACAAAGATACTATTATTAGCTCATCAAAATTTATTTTTAGATCGATGACGCTTAACTTTATACTTAAAATCCTTCAAAAACCGGTCGAAATTCTTCGTCGAAGATCCATCCTCATCCAATGCACGGCGCACCGTGTCACTGAGCCTCTCCATTGTGTGTCTCAGGCCGCCAACGCTTCTTTCCCTATTCATCAGAATCTTGATCTTCGATGCCACATGTCTCGCATCCAACGGCGCCACATCATCATCGCACAAGTTAATCCCGACCTTCCAATCATCCACCACCAACTTCCGATTAGTCGGTTGGTCATAGGTCACCGGGTAACAAAGCATGGGAACTCCAGCCCAAATGCTCTCCAGTATCGAGTTCCATCCACAGTGTGTCAGAAATCCTCCGACCGCCGGGTGTGACAACACCGCGGTTTGACTGCACCACGGCACGATCAAACCTCTTTCTTTAACCTTTTCCTCGAACCCAATCGGAAAAAATTTCACCTCGCCGGCGACAAGCCCTTCTCAAATGACCCAAATGAAATGTACCATGCTCAGATCCAGCCCTTTAGCCACCTCTTTGATTACTTGCCCCGCAATCCCGGCGAAGCTTCCGAATGAGATGTACAAAACGGAGCCTGGAGTCTTTTAATTAAGCCATACGGCGCAGTCTATTTCGGAAAAGAGACTCGTCAAGACATTTATTTTGGTCGAAGAACCGATTGGCCCTACGGCGTAAGTTGGATTTCGTTCGCTTAGAGCTGACAATGTACGTGGCTCGAGTTCTTGCACCGTGTTGTGTAAGACGAAGTCGGCTTTCTTAACATCCTCGAAGATTTTGAGGAGCATCTTTTGTCCAAATGTTGTCGGAGCTTCTAGAAGATAGCTTATCAAGTCCTTTGTTTTTATAGGATCGACTCCAGGGATGTAATCGATCAAATGCTCTCTACTATCACCTCGCAGGGATGCGAGAGATAATAGTATTTCAATATTTTTACTATTCAATCTGAACTGTATTTTCATATTCAAATCAAAAGAACGTAACTTGTTATCTATTTTCACTTAAAAGTTTTTTCAAACATTTAAACAATTAAAAATATCGATACAATACCCGATGGGGGGAAGTGGCCATTTCCAGCGAGGAGATCCATGGAGCAATTAAGGGCTAAGACGAGAGCCGGTTCGGTCCAAAACGATACATTCACCATGTCATATTTCTCGGCGATAAATCGAGGCCACGCCGTGATGGTATCCGCAACCATAACTCGTACGGTGGACGGATCGCGCCGTTCCTCGAACATATTCCCGACAAATTCATCGACACGAGAAGGAAAATCCTCGAAAAGAGACCGTGCGAATTCAGGGAAGTTGGCCTTTCGATCGTAGTCGAGAGGAAAGCCGTCGGAAATGGTGGCATAGCGAATGTCGAGACCGGAAGCTCGGACATCGGAGAAGACGTCGTCGAGTTCTTGCCGGGATTCGGAGATCAAGTGGTGGATGTATTGAGTGTGGACGAAGGTTATGGAGAAGCCATTGGAGGCAAGCTTGATTGCAAGATGGACGAAGGGGTTTATGTGGCCTTGGTATGGGAAGGCTATCATCACAGCCTGTGGTTTCAGTGCAACCTCGTATTCTTCCTCCATAGTTTCGGATTGTCGGGAGGAAACTGATGGGAAAAGATAAGTTTCGTCGTGGAGAGAGAAACAGTCTGGAGTGACGGCCCAGAAATGATCACTTAGTTATAATTAAGGTGGTTGGATGTCAATTATGTTTGGTTTGGAATCAGATTGTGGTTGGATTTTTTTTTTTTTTCCCAATATGATATAATATATGAATATTTGATTAAAAATAAATTTATGATGTAGATTGAGATATTTTAAAAATTAATCTAATTTACTTGAAATTTGATTTAAATTTAAAATCCAAATGAAATGAAGTATTCCATTGATTTAGTCTACTCTAATCACCCCATATAGTTACTTATTTATTTATAAATTATGTGGGTATTATTTCATTATTAATTTTAATTATTTAGATAAAAAATCTAAATCTCTAAATTCAATCTAAATTTCAAACACATTATTACAAAGTTATTTAAATTATCAACTCTTCAAAATATTATATTTATACAGACCTTCAAATTTCAAATTCCAACATTGTCAAGATTGCAAAAACACATAATTTTACCGATGATTTTTTACTTTAAAAAAATAATTAGCTATATTTTTGTTGTATTTTATCATTCAAATCATCTAGAAACCGGTTGAAATTCGTCGTGGAAGATCCATCAGCACCCCAAGCACTCCTAATTACACTTGTGAGCTTCTTCATCTCATTTCTTACACCGTCCGAGGTTTCACTATTCATCAATGTTTTGATCTTCCACGCCACTTCTTCCCCCTCGACCTTTGCCTTGTCCTGGCAAAGGTCGATCCCGATCTTCCAATCATCCACCACTAGCTTCCGATTAGTCGGTTGATCGTAAAGGACCGGATAACATATCATAGGTACCCCAAACCACATGCTTTCCAATATAGAGTTCCATCCACAATGCGTCAAAAATCCCCCGACCGCCGGATTGGACATCACGGCGATTTGATCGCACCACGTGATGATCAATCCTCGATCCTTTACATCATCCTCGAATCCGGCAGGAAAAACATTAATCTCATGTTCGAAAATGTCGCGCCTTAGTGCCCAAAGGAAGTTTAACTTGCTCGCCCGAAGCCCGCGAGCCACTTCTTGAATAACTTTTTGTTCGATCTGAACGAGGCTTCCGAACGAGACGTATAGAACTGATCCGGGGGGTTTCGAGTTCAACCATTCGGTGCAATCAGTTTCGGGAAGTAGGCTCTTGGAAATGTCGAGTTTGGTGGTCTCCGGCGAGAAGTTTATCGGGCCTATGGCGTATGTCGGCCATAGTTCGTTCAAGGTTGATAGTGTATACGACTCGAGTTCTTCGACCGTGTTGTGTAGGACAATGTCGGCTTTTTTAACTTCCTCGAATGTCTTGAGCAAAATCTTGTTAAGAATCGATGTCGAATCGGATTCTTGAAGATTAGACATTAAGTCCTTTTTGTGTATCGGCGCGACTCCGGGGATGTAGTCGATCACGCAATCCCGATCTCCTACCATGCCCGATAATAAATCATTTCACGAACAAGCATTGAAAAGAAGATTATAGGGACTGACAACGCATCATATAAGGGCATACAACATATATTATATGTTAATATAATACAAAACAACATATAACACAGCTTCATACAATATATAATATTTTAAATGTTTACTCACTATTTTTATTCTCTATTTATACAATTGTCATTGATGATCATGATCGTATCTATTTGTTACAATGATTTTATATTAATCCAAAAATTACATTACTAATCTTATAAAATTTTAATTTTACCCGAAGAAATTTTAAAATACTAATTTTACTTTGATGAAATATTAGTTAGGAATCAAATAGAGAAATTCAATTTCATATTTCCAATATAATATATGTCTCACATACCCGACGAGGATGAGGACGGGAAATGTCCGTTCTTTGTAAGAAGATCCACGTAATAATCGAGGGCAAACACGACGGCCGGCTCGGTCCAAAAGGATACATTCACCATGTTATACTTCTCGGCGATCAATCCTTGCCACGACGAGATAGTATCGGCCACAATAATCCACGGCGACGGCGGGACGGTGTTGATCAAATTAGCGACAAACTCGTCGACAAGAGAAGGAAACACTTTCAACATATGATCCCAATAGCTCACGACATCCTCCGATCTATCATATTCGATGGGGAAGCCATCGGAAATCGTGGAATAGCGTATGTCGAGGCCCGACTCGCGTGCCCCGGAAAAGACGTCATCGCCGTCGAATCGATTTTCGGAAGAGCTTTTGATGACATGGTGAGCATGGAGAGTGTGCACAAAATGTATGGCAAAGCCTTTTGAAGCCAACTTGATTGCTAAATGAAGAAAAGGGTTTAGATGGCCTTGGTAGGGAATTGCAATCATTAGGACATTAGGGGTTATTGCAACTTTGTTATTATTCTCCATTGTTTTCTCCGAACAATCATTCGACGAAGTTAAGGATAAGAATATATAGTTGTGTTTCACAAGGTCTTGGTGTAGTGTATTTAACGTGTAGTGTAGGGTGTGTTTGTTTTTGTTTTTGGGTTTAAATTTTTTTTTTTTTTTAATAGTATAAATTTGAATTTGAATAATTGTTTGATATGATATAAGTAAATATTGATGTGATGTTTTACATGTAAAATTTAATTTTTAGTATAATACTACATCTCCGGTTCTAAAAGTTTGATTTACTTGCGTATTAATATTTTAATATTAATTATTATATAAAAATATAATAAAAATAAAATAAAATACTTTTACAAGTTTCTTATAATACTATTACAATAACATTTGCGTAATAAATTATATAAATATAAAGATATTTTTAATATCAAGTATAATAACTCAAAAATAAATGGAATCTTTTAAAATCAGAAAGATGGAGTATAAAAAATAATTATTTAATGTTATATATTTTTTTAAAAAATATAAAATCAGTAATTAAAATAAATTTTATATTTGGATTTTATGAACCTAACAAAAGCTATTTACAATTCTGAGACGTGATTTACTTTGCAATTCGATCTAGTCATCATCAACTATATCTATATATATATATATATATATATAAGTATTGGTGGCTGCTTTTAAGTAAGGGTGTGTTTGGTTAGCTATTAGAAAATCAAATTTTTTTTTTTTAAATATATCTTTACCTATTTTCTTAAAAATTTTTAAGTGAAATTCACTTCTCATTTTCGTAAAATTTGACACAATTCATTACAAACATTATATATATATATATCAAATATTTATTATTTTGCTATTTTCAAAACTTTTTAATACTTCAAAATTCCAAACCAATATACAAAATATGATATTCAATTAATATTTCAAGTAAATTACAGCAAAAACTAATATCTACAAAATTCAAAAAAATAAAAATAATATGTTTGATTGTAGGTTTTTTTTTTTTTTTTTTTTTTTATATGGCTTTTCCCTTTCAGGGAGCCCTTCCAGAAATTCTCGACGGCCCGAGTCAGGCCCGGGCCGAGGAGGGGGTTTGGAAATAGTTTTCAACCAGCAATAGACGACGCCTCGGTTAGAACCTCACTACTGCGTCATTGCCCCAAGCGCAAAGATGTTTAGGAGTCAAAATGTTGAGTTTTAAATTAAAATAATAGTTTGATGTGGCCTAATATACATAGTAATATACGCGTTCTGTCCCATATAATTTTTTCATATTTTTTATTTCTGTTTGTCTCATATTATTGTCATTTTTTTAAATATAATTATATATTTTAATTATATTTTTTATTTTTAAATCTTAATTAGATTATTTTAATTATTTTAATCTTAATTTATAATTATTTTTACTATATAATAATTATTTTTAATAATATTGTTATTAATTACTTACTAACTATACTTTATCTAAATTTTTGTATCTACAATAAATAGGCCTATATAAATGGGACAGAGAGAATAATATCTTGATCGTAAAATTAATAATTATTAGTACAATATAAAAAATAAAAATTAAGTATTTAATTTGATAGTATTTTTTATAAGTTTTTTATATATATAAATAATGAAAATCAAAATCGAAAACTTAAATCATTTTTGTTAGCAAGTTTTTATAGATCAAATGACGAAATATTCTCATTTGGAAACTATAATTCGAATTTGACTATGAGTGAGGGTATATGTTGAATAAAATACATATAACCTTTGTTACAGTACTGATATAGAAAAATCAACGTGGTGCTAATTATTTTATATAGCATTGTTCAAATTTGCAGACGGCACCGTTTGGTTATTTTTATAGCACCAATTCAAAGTTCAAATAGCACCAAATATATTTATATAAGAGCACAATATATATATACACACACACTGTATAAAGCACTTTTATAGAGCGCTGTACATATTCTTATAAAGCATCATCCGTACTTCTCTGGAGCGCTAATTTAAGAAATAAACAAATAACATATAATTTTTATTGAAAAACACAGTGCTATTTACACTAAAAATTGATGCTTTCGAAAAATTTACTTTGTATTTTCAGAAAAAATGAGCAGAACACTGGCATTTAATACGTTCGAACAATAATCGAACCGAATATATATATATATAAATATATATTTATTATTACAAAGAAAGTTCAATAGTAAACAATTTTATTCTAGGAGAGCATCCCCTACAATTTTATGCAATTTTTTTACTTTTCATTAATTTTTCATTCAAATCCTTAACAAATCTGTCGAAATTCCTCTTCGATGATCCATCCTCAGCCAATGCATTTCGAACAATCTTCTTGAATTTCAAAGTATTATTTCTCAATTCATGCGATGCTTCTCCACACATCACACTCTTGATCTTCTCCGCCACATCCTCGCCGTCGACGACGGCGGCGCCGGCGCCGGCGGCGAGATTAATCCCGACTTTCCAATCGTCGACCACTAACTTCCGATTCGTTGGCTGATCATAAAGCACAGGATAACATATCATCGGCACGCCGTGCCACATGCTCTCCAAAATTGAATTCCATCCACAGTGCGTCACGAAGGCGCCGACCGCCGGATGCGACAGCACAGCGCTCTGATCGCACCACGGCACGATCAATCCTCGATCTTTTACGCCGTCCTGAAAACCCGCCGGTAGCGCATTCGTCTCGCCGTCGTCGGTGGCGCCGGGCCTAATAGCCCAAAGGAAGCTCACCCGGCTAAGTCGAATGCCTTCCGCCGTTTCTCGAACGACTTCTTTACCGATCGTGACGAGACTTCCGAACGAGACGTAGAGGACCGACCCGGGTGGCTTCGAGTTTAGCCATTCAGTGCAGTCGGTTTCGGACAAAAGATCATTGGAGAAAGCATTGTTCATCGAGAAAAAATTGGTCGGCCCTATCGCGTACGTCGGCATTAATTTTCCGAAGACGGACAAGGCGTGCTCTTCGAGTTCTTGCACCGTGTTGTGTAGGACGAAGTCGGCTTTTTTCACCTCGTCTATTGCCATGGCGATGATCTTGTGAACGATGTGCGACTCGTCGGGTTCTTGTAGATGCGGCATCAAGTCCTTCGCGCTCATCGGCTCGACTCCGGGAATGTAGTCTATTACGGCATCCCGATCCCCTATTCCACAACGAAACGAACAAGTTAGCATATACGTATGTAGAAATAACCTATTGATGTAAGAAATGGCCGAGTTGGTATGGTAAGGTAACTTGTGACCTCAAAATTATGAGTTCAATCTGCCGACGCCTCATGGATTGAATCTATTACATAGAATTTGCCTAGCGCAGTTTAGTGAGCTAGTGGGCTATTGCTAGAGCCAGAAAAAATTGACACGACAAGACAATCTGATACGAACCCGACACGAAATAATTGAGTTTGGGTCAAGGATTTTAACCAGATTATGTATACGAATTAACACGAACCCGATATGATAATAAATGAATCGGATTATGGTTGAATTAATATATTTATTATAATATGTAAAGTTATTATAATATAATAATTAGCTTACATATTCCTTTAAAATAAGTTTAATTTTAAATAATTCAACCTAATTCAGTGTACATATTACAATTAAATCAACAAATACTAACATACCATAACAACATGACAAAAAATAATTGAATTTAAATTAAGGATTTCGACTTAATTATGTATACGAGTCAACACGAACTTGACACAATAATAAACGGATCGGGTTAGAGTTGAGTTATTTAACTCGTTTAAAGTATTCAATCCGATACGAATCGATTCATTGTCAGCTCTAGCTATTGAGGCTTACTGATTAGGAAAATTAAGATCGAAAACATCTATGTATATATATATATATATATACCGGATCGAGCGGAGTGTCCATTCCGAGTAAAGAAATCGATATGATAACTAAGCGCAAACACGAGAGCCGGTTGTGTCCAAAACGAGACGTTAACGAGATTGTACTTCTTCGCGATCAACCGTGGCCACGTCGCGAAGGTATCGGCGATCAAGAATGGGATCGGCGACACATCATTTTCCGACGACGACGACAACTCGGAAATCCATTTTCCGACAAATTCATCAACATGCTCCGGGAACTTGTAAAGCAAGTGCTCCCAAAACTCAAGCATGTTTGAATTTCGATCGTATTCCAACGGGAAGCCATCGTAAATGGTGGCGTAATTTATGTCCAAACCGGCGCCACGCGACGCGGCAAAGACATTGTCGTCTTCGCGATCGCGATTGCGCCGTCGGTCGGCGCGGCGGGATTTCGAGATCGAATGGTGGGCGTGGTGGGTGTGTACGAAAGTGATGGAGAAGCCATTGGAGGCTAAGTTGAGGGCTAACTGTAGGAAAGGATTTATGTGTCCTTGGTAAGGGAGTGAGATCATAAGGGCGTGTGCCTTCATTGATGCAACCTTACCTTAGCTTCGTCGAACTATGGATATGTCGAGAGAATGGCTTTGCCCGTTGTAAATTGATGTCGAGAGTTTGAAGGCTACCAAAGATTTAGAAAGAGTGTTTGGAAGAATCGAGGATTCAAAAGGCTTTCTCAATTTATAATCAATTTATCTATTCTGTCATTTTCGTCTGAAATCAATTAATTTAGTTTTTTAGTAGGTGTGTTTCTTAGATAAATTTGAATTTTGAGTTGAGATTTGAATAAAAATAAATTTAAATTACAATAATAATATAAATATGTATTGATATAATATTTTGAATAATTTTTAATACTATAAAATATAATATTTGATTTAATATTTTTTTAAAGAAAAATTGGTTAGTAAGAAAAATATTGAAAATTTTCCCGAAAGAACACACTTGTATTTTTCACCGATTTTTTTTTTTTTTTAAAAGAAATGTCTTACATTTTATATATTATTATAAGTTTATAACCATGTCATCAATTTATCTATAAAATATTAAAAGAAATATTTCTTCCATATCAAAGTATTATTTTACTATTTTTCATTTGTTTTACTTTAAATAAATATTTTTATTTAAAAATAATAATTATACACTAATAACAAAATAATATTAATTTTTATTTAAATTACAAATATATTATTTTTCGTACAATTACTCTATATATAAAATCAAATAACAAAAATATCAAAAATTCTTAAAAGAAGTAGAATTGTTGGGGCGGCAACCTTTGTTTATATCCACGAAATGGAGATAAGGCAGAGTAGTAATTTATGTGATTGGGGATTAATTTTGGACATAATAAAAATATTTGTGAAAGTTATGTTATGTTATTTTTGTGCCACACATCACTGTCGGTGAAGATTTTTATAAAACTTTGCCGTCCTAATAAATTTGGAACTTTTGTTTTTTTTTTTTTTTTTGTCACTCGATTTCAATTATTTATTATGTAGTAATTTGTATAAGTGTATTGCTTTATGAAATAGTTTAAAAAATATATTTTCTATATTTTTTAATATAAAATTAATAAATATATGTAATATATTAATTTTTTTGAAAAAATATATATTTTTTTGCAAAAAAACACATTTTATATATGATTTTTAAATTTAATATATTATTTTTATCTTATAAAATATTATATAATAATATTTAAATTAGTTTCTAAAAATTCAAATATAAACCGAAAATATTTTTATTACAATTTTTAATACAAAACTTATGTCCCATAATTAAGTATTCATTTACTTTTTATATGTTGAACTTTAAATAATCATATTATTTTCATGCGTAAATACAAATTAATAGAAAAATAAATACTTTTATTAGTATTATGTAATACAAATGTAATAATATCTATGATTTGGACGTAGATCCCATGATAATCCAATCAAATAAGCATATGTCATAAAAGTAAATAACATTAATTTTTACATAATGCAACATATATTGTATTATAACATAATTTATATTATATTATAAATATGCTAAAATACCTGTTGATAATTTAGGGATATGATTTAAATATTAAATATTATAATTTAGAGATATGATTTGGATATTAGATTATATCCTAGATTTAAATATATAATTTAGATATTATTGGCATAGACTTATGTTATAAATAGGCATGTATTCTCATTCTAACATGCTGTCATACGGCCATGCCATATAGCCAGGCCATGCGGCCAAGTGGCTCAAATCCTACAATAAAATATGTTCTCAATTTTTGTATGTGGAGATAGTCAACTCGTTTTTTAGTAAACCATGTAAATCTATGTCTTTTTTATGTTTTCTATTTGTTATTCGATCATTAACTCTAATATCTCACAACAATATTTATAATAAATATTGTTTAAATGTATGACATGATCCGGTCGAATCATAAGGATTGCCTCTACGATTTGTTTATCATGTTGATATAAATTAATCAGCATTGTACTAGCAGTATAATAATTGCAAGTTGTCAGCACATGTTTTAAATGAATACATCATGTATTGTCTTGTCTTGATTGTTGCAATGTGCGATCAATTTGTATTTTGCATATTACCTATTTTTATACATCTTATGTGTTGTGTTTAATTATAATATATTAATTGTTGTTTGTTATGAAATTGTTTCCCTAACATTGATGACTAGACTTCCTGCAATCAAATAATACTCACTAAGAATATTAATAAGTTAGTTCAATAAATCAGAATAATAACAAAAAGAAAATAAAAGAAAGCAGTGTTATAATATAACACAATATCTGGCGGCTCCACTACAAAAAAATAGTATATTTGTAACGGAATTCCGTTCCTAAAGTTCACGTAGCTAACATAATTCCATCTCTAATTCCGTCTCTAATATCATTAGTAACGGAAAAAGTGGATTTAACAACGAAAAAATTTTGTTACAAAATTGATATTTTTTTGTAGTGCTCATATCACAGCTCACTCCGCGTCAACTTCAAGTCTTCCAACGAGGCAACACTACAAAGGGAAGCAATTGAAGGTTTCGACACCAAAGAGCCTGTCATTCCACAAGGAACAGAGAAACGCACAAAGACAAAGAGTGAGGAGCTCCGGAAAAATGACCGGTCGCGCGGTCAATCAAATATTTTACCTATTTCATTATCACAATTTAATGTAATACATGGGAAGGGATCGTCTCCATAGGGATCGTGTGATTCACTTTTTCGTGTTCTAATGCAGTAAATAATTGGGGGGAATTTTCTTTTATTATCTAATGAAGATAAAATAACAAAGCAATTTAATTAACGGAAAACTAGTTATTAAGGGGATGTCTGATTCAAGGGATGATGCAGTTATGGCACTTGTGTTTTATCATTTATTCAATAAAGTTAGTTCTTATTAAAGTATCAATAAATTGGTTATAGTTATTGATATGCGGTGGGCACAGCCAAAAGTTGATTCCTGACAAGGGAAGAAAGAGCAAGTGCGCTTTGGGCTAATTGTGGCAATGGTGTGAAGCCTAAGTTTATTATTAAGTACCTCAATTCTTTATTTTCTTATTTGATTATTTTGAATAAATTGTTAGGTTGGTTGGGCCTAGGCCCATAGTAGTTTTGCTCTAGTATTTAACTATTATTTTGAGACATTATTAGGATTCTGATTTCCTTCAATTTCACGGCTTCGGCTTGGTCGGGATGAGTAGTTCTTCCTTGGTTATCAATAAAGTTTAGTCTTTTGGTTCTCTTAAGTTCTCGTGTTATCAAATTGGTCCGACCTGCTTGATCTTAGCGGATGAGGTGACGCTAACAAATACACAATGCATTGAAGCTTTGGAGGAAGCCCTAGAGGAACTTCGAACAGGCATGGAAGCACAACAAGAAGGATTGTCGCGCCTCGAATCGAAGGTGGATCGACAAATGGATACTCTGAAAACAGAACTTTCAACAGCCATGCGGGATACAATTCTTGGGTTGTTCCCGCATGGACCGCCCACCACACCTATTAGGGGCTCGGCGGCGCAAGGAACTATGGCGGGAGGAGGTGAGGCAGCGGATTCGTCGACGAGGGCTGCCGGCATCAGCGGGGCAGCATGTCTGTTTAAGGATATTGGAGGAACGTGGACTACTCCGACAACTGATTTTAAGCTTTAGGATGCGCAACTTTGATGGCCACGATCCCTTGGGATGGGTTGCTAGGGCCGAACAACACTTCATATTACACGGAGTCCCTGAGGAGATTAAGGTGAGTCTTGCGCGAGTGGCGATGGAAGATGCGGCGCTCCATTGGTCCCGTTGGCATATGATGAAGCATGCTTCTGCCTCATTGATCGAATTCTCACAGGCATTGGTTATTAGGTTTGACGATCAATTCATGGGGTATCCGTATGAGAGGATGGTAACGTTAAGGCAAACAAGTTCTGTTGATGAATATGTCAATTTATTCACTCAACTTGCTACTCAGGCTTAACCATTGACAGAAGCGCAGGCCTTAGGGTATTATTTAGGGGGCTTGAAACAAATTATCATAAATAAGTTAAGGGTGGTAGAGCCTCCGGATCTCGAATCTGCAATCCGCGTAAGCAGAAGCATTGAATGAGAGTTGAAAAATGGATCTACGGAAGAATTTTACTTGCGAAAAACCTCTTCGACACTGTGAAATAACCTGGTTGAGCGAGCTGAAAGCATTATCTCCTCAAACACAGTTGGAGGGGTAGAGAACCACCATTCAACTAACAACAATATTGTGGGAGGCAACGATCAGTCACTTCAACCCCTTCTTCAAAGGGAAGCACAAAAAAATTAAGTCGAAACGAGTATTGCGAGTGTCAAAAGAAGCGGCTTTGTTACAAGTGCAAACAACCCTATAGTCCACTCCATAAATGCGAAAGTAAATATCTTAATGTTGTGGTGAATGATGATTTAGGCAACTGGGTTGCGGAGTTAAGGGAGATGAGAGATGAAGAATTTACTGAGGATGCAGGACTTACCTTGGAAAGTGACCAACCGCCCGAGGAGGAAACAATGCATGGGGCTCTTCTTTTATACGCCTTGGCTGGACTTTCAGGACCCCGAACCATGCGTCTCCGTGATAGTCTTTTTGGATTTAGGGTAACAGTACAAATCGATAGCGGTGCAAGCCATAATTTTATTTCCCAAAAATTGGTTCTACATGCAAAATTGAACGTATACGCCACACAGGAATTCAACGTGGTATTAGGCGATGGTTGCAAGGTGGCAAGTACGGGAGTCTGCTCGAAATTGAGTATACAGATCAATGGAGTAAAAGTGCAGGCAGACTGTCACGTATTTCCTCTTGATGGGGTGGATATAATATTGGGTGTCGCATGGCTAAGGACATTAGGAAAAATTCAGATGGATTGGGAAGCCTTGGAGATGCAGTACTATTTGGTGGGGCAGCCGGTGACCTTGCGCAGCTCGGCGTACCACCCGGAAACTGACGGCCAAATTGAAGTCTTGAACCGCACACTAGAGACATACCTTCGTTGTTTTTTGCTCGGAACAACCCCGAAAATTGGCAACATGCCTTTCATGGGCTGAGTTATGGTACAACACCTCCTTCTACACTTCCGCTGCCACTACTCCCTTCTTGATCGTCTACAGCCGACCGCCACCCACACTGCATAGTTTCTTGCC